CCTGCCTGCCTCTCGCCACGCCCTCCTCCCGCCCAGCCGTGCTGCCCGCCGTGCTTCCCTGCAACACTTACTTGACTTTGCTGAATACGATGTCAACGTCGGTGCTGGTCACAGCTTTCCCGTCCATCACCCCACACTCTTTGCACATCTTGGAGAAGTTCTTCCCTGTCATCTCGTTGCCGCTGGCAGATGTGTCACCGTATACCGCAAATTTACGGAAAGCTTGTTCTACCTCCGACATCGTGCTGCTGTGGAAGAAAGAAGTGTGCAGGAGGGTGCTGAGGATCATCTGCAGCTGCTGGACACACTCCTGTCCCAGGCACCTCGTTTCCATCAAAGCGAGGGGCACCACCCACGGGACAACCATGACGACCACAGAAGCATTGACACAGAACACAGATTCAAGCAGGATGAGGGCAGGGGTGGGTTGCAAACCAAGGCAAGGCAACGAGTGGTGGAGGTAGGACTCTGGAGTGAATTAGTGACTGCAGTGCATGTAGGAACTAGACATCCAAAGCCCCATAACATCCCCCTGAGCAAGCTCAGAAGATATGAGCTAGAGGAACAGGCAGTGAGGTGGGTCAAGAACTGGCTACTCAATAGAGCCCAAAGAGTGGTGATCAACGGTGCCGAGTCCAGCTGGAGACCTGCAACTAGTGGAGTCCCCTAGGGATCAGTGCTGGGTCCAGTCCTGGGGCAGGCTCCCCAAGGAGGTTGTGGAGTCTCCTACCTTGGAGACGTTTAAGGCCCGTCTGGATGCGTTCCTATGTGACCTGCCCTAGACTAGATGGTCCTGCTCTGGCAGGGGGGTTGGACTCCATGATCTCCAGAGGTCCCTTCCAACCCCTAACATTCTGTGATTCTGAACTTTTTTGAAATACAAGTCTCAGTTAGATTGTCTGAATAACAAATGCCTACGTTTGTAAGCTGATTTATGCTTTGCCTGTTTTTTGATGGTCAAGAGCCCAGATTTAGAGAAGTGCCTAAATCTCGCAGACCTTCTTGCAAGCAGTCACCAAAAAGTTGAGCCCATCTTTCCCCAGCACACATCACCCCCTCAACTGTGTTCTTTGAATTAGCTCATCCTAGTCCCAACACTTGTAAATTTTCCACTACCGATCAGCTTAGGCCACTGCAGCCAGTTATCAGGGATCCCTGAGAACACAAAAGCCACTGCTTGGGTTGCAGAACTGCCCACCATGACGTGAGCAGCTGATTCCT